CCTTGGGCGATAGATATTGATTTACTGTCTGGTTTTTCACATGTAAGATTTATCATTTATCTACTGCTATTATTGATTCAGAACTTTAAACTGAAGGTTTTCCAGAAATACATTAGCAGAACGGAAGACCAAGTAAAGTTTTCCACATTCAGACTTTCCCCAAGGTAATAGATTTTTGATTTGCATTTATCAAAAATTTCTCTCGACCCATAATAGATCAGTGACCTTTCCAGGGTGTTTCTTCCGCATTCTGCCCAATGCATGCTGGGATGAATACATAGATTTTTTTTCTCTGTAGTGCCCTGTGCTCCTGCTGTAGAGGTCAGGAGAAAAACTGTATTTTTAACAACCCAAGAAGACTCTTTTTGTATAAGAATAATGTGTGTTTTTTCTGCACCAGAGTGAATGTGAATAGAGCAGTAGGGTGCTCAGAAATGTGACAGAACTCTTTTGGGGAAAAAAGGCTGTAAAGGAGTTTAGACAATATGACTTGGAAACTGAGGATCAGTTTGGGAGAAGCCTTTTAATAAATCCTGCCTCCCTTCCACATTAATACATTATAAAAGGAAAAAACAAACAAAAGAAAGACTGTTTTGTTATTTGCTTTGAACCCTATGACACTCGTATGTGACTGACATGGTCTTTTATACCAGCTTATACTAGCTGTGCTTTTGGTGAACTGAAAATAGTTGCTACCCTTCAACCAACATAAACCTTATTAACAGCAATTAATATGGCTACATTTAATATCCTCATAACATGTAGGATCTGCCAACAATGTTTCCTCTTATTTCTCAAAAGGGTGATGGCGGAGTTACAGTTAGAGCCTCTAATCTTTAGAACAGTCTGCATATCTTAAAGCCAAATCTGAGATCTTAAATCCAGAGTGGTTTTTACTTTTTAAATCCCCTTTAAATACTTTCCTTTGGGTGCACAGGTGGTATAGGGATAAAGTTCCCATCCACAGAGGCCCAGGGTACAATTCCTGGTACATTAGGCCTGGTCCTGCATTCCAACAAACTGGCTGGTGGGTGGGAAGCTGGTGCTGGTTGAAATCCCTGCAGCTGCAGTGACTCCTCTCACTGGTTAGTAATGGTACTGCATGACCTTCCTTTTCACATGATCCACATTTATTTCTGTTATTGTTTGCAATCTTTGTTCTTTTTAATCTCGTTTTTGATGCTCCTTTTTTGTGTGACTTCTTTTGTTTTATCATGATGACAATCATTATTATGAATCATATTACTGGAAACCAGTTGAATACATTTTCATTCAATTAAAGCTCATTACACATACAACGATGTCAGGTGAGGTGTCATCATAATCATGAATGCACTGCCATCTTGCCATCTAGATTATTTCAATTAACCCACAACAAGAACATGAGAAAAGTTATGGGTGTCAACTTTGATAATGTTAAAAGTTTATAATATAACAAAATAAAGAATAGTTTTAATTACTATATCACAACTAAAATGACAAAGAAATTAATGCCATGTTGCTTTTTAACACCACAACGTTAACTTGACTAATGAGAAAGCCCATTAAGCAGAGCTGACAGTGTGAATACAAAACACATTAGGTATGAATTATGTTATTAACAACTATAAACATTGTCTGTATAATCAAAGCCACCTAAAAATATTCACTCCTCTGTGATACATGATGTGATTCGATGGTATACAACGATATTTGACAATATTAATTAATTCTCAGGATATTAACCTCACCAGCGCAAGGGGTCTGCAGCCAACTTGGCACAAACATGCTGCAACAAATATTAAAATGCACGTGTTACAATGGCAGCCAACAAACTCGATTCAGTCCACGTCTGCGCTGGCCAATGGGTTTTCCTATAATTATACGATCTGACCAAAGAAAATGAGCTAAATCTCTCTGGGAAATAGTCTGAAGATGGTGAAACACTTCAGGTAAAATGTGCACAGCAGACTGAGATGAGTAAATGGATGTTTTAACCTCCTGTTAATATAAAACTGAATGACTGTAGCTTCTTTTTGCCAACAGACATGCTGTGAGACACCATATTCAGATGCTACAATTATCATAATGTTGTGGTTATACAGCAGGTCTGAGTAGAACTAGAAGCAGTAAAGTTGAGAAGTTTTGAGCCTTCAGCAGATCTTAACGCTGCTGAGCAAAAACACTTATTTTTCATGTCTTTCTCCTCTGGAGCATGATGAATGACTGCTGTAATGGACCTGAATGAGGAATGGAACCAGCCAAGTAAGCATGCATGCATGTATGACCTTCTGGATCAACTGATTGATCACTTCATTGATCATGAAATGCCCCTGGATTAGTTAGTGAATTTTGATAATTATTAACATAAAATATATAAATTAATGAATGAATGGGCTGATGGAGTTGTATTATGCATTAACTGAAAGTGATTTCGTAATTGTGTTTATCTCTGCAGTTCAGCAAATGTTGAGCTTTTCTGTCATGTTTTTATAAAATATGGTTAAAAAAAGGTGTAATGGTAGGGTTCAAAATCTATGCATTTCAGAGGCTTGTGCGCTTTCTTCACTTCAAGGGGCAATCTTCTGCTGATATGTGTATTTAATCGGGTGTCAATTCATTTAAGTGTTTCCCAGCACATTCTGAAGCTGCACTTTAACTGCACAAACAGACACATCATGTAGCACCAGCTGTGTAAACCTGCAGGTAGAAAATAATTACATAACTGTTAAATGTAACATATAAATCTATCTGAAGTGGAAATGCAATATTACCAGCAGTAGATCAACTGGATAAGCTTAATTTGTGTATGTGGGTGTCCGTGTCCATGCACTCATTATGCATTTCTTTGCAGTTGAGTCATGAGGCTGTGGTACAATAAAGGAGAGCTGTGAATCATTAGTGACAGTGCAGTAAGGTTAAGGAGACTGTCCATCAAAGTAGACACAGAATAATTAAGATGCTTGCGTGTGGGTGCCTGCGTGTGGGTGAACACCAAGGTGTGTGCGTGCATCTGCATCATGATACAAGATTTGAATGGATAATTCACCTTGATGTTGTGGAGGCAGTTAATGGTGATTCTTAACAGCTAACAAAATGTTCTTTTTTACGTGCACCCTCCAGTGGAAGGTCTGGGTGCAGTGGTGCAGGGTCGTCTTCAGGTCAGCACTGCTAGAACTAATAAGGATTCAGTCTAGCTTGAGGACATTTCATGAGGGTGGATAATTGCCATATTGGGGGCTTGAATTTTGTTCCTCCAGTTGAAGGATCTTGCTTGTCATGATGTCCTAAGTTTCAAACTAAGAAAATTGTAATTGCTTGTTGCCGACTTCCAACTTTAGTCTTTTAATTGACATCTGGCTTCCTTTGACTTAATTTATTTCAAATGAGGATTTTATAATGTTTATTTAACCTTGGGCATGGCAGTCATCCTTGTCAGTGAGTCATACACAGGCAAAAGAAAATTTCACTTTTGAGCAAAACTGTTCAGCTCTGGAAGAAATAGAAATAGTAATTATTATCATGACTAATATAATTAGTCAGTAGTTGCAGCAGTTATTAATAACTGACATGTCATCTATTTTCCACCATCATGTTACATAACATTACTACCTTAACAACATGGGCATCCTACCTTCTTTATGACATTAACTGTTTTATCTTTTTGATGAATCATGATTAAAGGCCAGAGAGATTAAATAAAAGGCTCCTCGAGCTAAATTCAAATTCTCTCACAGCTGTTTAAATAAAGTCGGAGACCAAATCCTCAATACCTGACTGGAAGTTTGAACATCGGACTTCAAAATAAAAGCACGGGTAGGCTACTGTGTGGTTATTATATATATATGTAAAAAAGAGGAAAGACAAATACGCCAACAAATAAGTAAACAACAGGCTGCTGCATGGTTCAAATGTGTTTTTTTAGGCTAGGCTACATCATTATGTTTGTGGGTGAGATCAAGAAAATTTAGTCTGTAGCCTATAGCATGTAGGCTATATTCATGTATTGGCCATATCTAAAACAGCAGTCATATCTGTGTGAAATTCCTTAGCTTAAGTCTAAACTTTAACAATATTTTATTTTTTATTAAATTTAATGAACCATTTAGACAATTCAATCCATCTAAGTGAATGTGACTAATTAATATAATTGCCTGTTTTACTCTATAAAAGTAGACTAATACTTATCACAAGTTATTTCAGCCCTGATCAATGTTTTTAAATAATTGTTTATATTGGGATCCAACAAACCTATGTAACCTATTTAATGTACATTGATATGAAACAGTGAAAAGCAGCAAATAGCTACTCTTATTCATAGCATCCTACTGTAATCAGAAAATATTAGGTATAAGTGTGAATTTCACAAATTCAACAGCACTGAAAAATGCAATTAACTGATGTGAAATCAATAATTTCAGCATAGATGTACTTAAATAGCCTAACACTGGTTATCTTTGTTGTTATCTGGCATTAATGGTTGGAAGCTTTATCCTCTTAAAGCCCTAATATGTTGAGTTATATTACGCTTGTGTCATTCAGTAGAACTTCGTCCGAATCCAGCAGCGGGGATTTTACTTTGGGAATCCGGTCCGGAAGTTTGATAGGCTATTGTGGCGGGCTTGAGGTTGGTCTCCAGTGTTCGCGACACAACCGCACGCAGCTGCTTTCATTTTCCAGCGCTCGAGACGCAGCGACGGAGAGGGGAGCTCGCGCTTCTTGCTCCGGGGATGTCACCTCAGATGGACTTGATGTAGGACAAGTATACGCAGTTTATCTCCGATTAAGGCCACTTAGGTGTTAGTTTCAAGTGCAGTTTTGCGGGACACAGACTGCTTTAATGGTCTCAAGTGTTTCCAGCGCCGGTTTTAATGTGTTTTATGTGCTTGCGCTCAACAGTGAGGTAGACTTACCGGTATTCGGGCTAATTTTACAGGAGAGTCGGCGTGGGATTTATCCCGTGGATGCGGCTGTCGGGGTCGGTGTATGAGCCCTGCAGGATCAGCCTGTCATAGGGCATCATGGTTTCTCTGGTTCACACGTGGATGAGGAATATGTCTGAGATGATGCTGCTGCTGCCGATATTGTGGTTTTTACCTCTGACTGGAGCGGCTCCGTCTGTGGCCACCGAGCAGCTGGACACTGGGGTGGTAAGTTTTCTTTTCTACCTACTTAAGGAGAAGGAGGGGGCGAGGGGGTCACAAGCTTTTCTATCTGCTAGCACCAATGAACTGGGACGGTGTGGGTTTTTTTTTCTATCAAACCCTACCACACTGTGGCGAGGTTTTCCTCTGCTTCCTTAGGGCTACTCTTGGCCGTCCAGGAAAGAGCAAGTGCTGTCTCCGGATACTTGCTCTGAATTTTAACGCCGCTCTGCAGTCCAGTACAAGAGGCAGAGTGGCGGTACACACCGCATGATGGAAACCTACAGGAACTTTATTCACCCCGTCAGGAAACACCCCTTTCCAAAAAATAAATAAAACAATAAATGTGTTGGTCAAGTTGTCTGTAGGCCCTAATTAATCAATGTATGTGAAGGGATTTGCCTTGGCGTTATATCGACCTCTTTCACAGTGTGCTGACATATCCAGTGCTAATAAGATGACTGGAGCTCGCTGGGACTGACTGAACGCATGAGACAATTTATTTTATCAGGAATTTGTCAGTTATGCCTCTGAAAGACCCGGTGCCAAGTTCAGACAATTGCTGTTTAAAATACAGGTCCCACACTGGACTCTGTGGGGGAGCCAAGCCATAAAACAGCACAGTTGAGGAAGGATATAAACAAATCGATTTGAACTGAACTCTAAGACCATATTGGTACCATGCACCTATAACACCCCACCCCAGAATATCTTAATATATTTTATGTTTTTAGGCTATATGTTTTGCATGAATGATGAAGGAAGCCACACAGACTGTGAAGTGGGATCAAGACTGAGGTTAAGGGAGCAGCAAGGCAGCTGCTGTTGTAGTTGAGTTTAGTGTAATACACTATTCTGCATGTAAAAATATGAGATTATGCAAAATTCCCTTCAAAAAGTTTTGTTGTCTTGTAATAGCTGATTATTGTCACCATAATTTCATCCCCATTGAAGCTGCATTTTTCTACAATTTCACTCCTCTGGGCAACATCCGTTTTTGTTGCTCCTCATCCCGACATCTGTCTGGCTTTCTTTCAGCGCTCAAACTTTTCTCTCTGAAAACCTACGCTTGGGGATTAAGTTTTTCCCCAACAAAGACTAGAACAAGAGCACTAAAATAGATCCATTTCTGTTTCTTTACTTGTTTTTTGCTTAAAGTTTTTTCTTCCACCTCGAGGCTTCTTTGACTCGCTACTTTTTTTTAATACATCTAACACAACAGACTCTTTAATTGTGAGATTGTGTGGCCCATCATTTTTAATCTAGCTTAGACTGTGTGTGGGCGAGACAAAGAGAACAGCAACTTGCAAAACAACTCATTCAGACTCATTGCTGAGGAGGATGCCAACAACCCTGACATGAAGACATGGTCTGCTGTACCTTAGCTATGAATTCATTTTTTCAGGTTTTCAAAAAGGTCAGTTGGTTCCACATCTGACAGGGTTTTCATCACTACCTGTAGCTAGCTTTGGCCACAAGCAGCCAAATCCACAAAACAGGCTATTACACTGACATAAACAAAATAGAAGTAAAATCTTTAAAACACAGTTATGAAACTACATGAATGGACTTCAGCTGACACATCATCCTGGGTAAAGATAATAGCTTTTACTGTTTTATAAAGTTTTGTATTTTAACTAACTTTATTTTTCTTTTTGGAAAGTTGAGTGAACTCTGACAATACAGACACAGTGGTATCACTAGATGAAAAGCTGTGGTAACAGCAGTGATTTTACTCCATTTGCCATGACAGAGAAGAATTACTCAAGGGGGAAGCTTTCCTGCATTTCTAGATAGAGCTGTATGATACACTGAGTCCAAAGTGGTACTGCACCTTGTGCGCAGCCCGGGTCATTACTCTTGTTGTGATGTCTGGGAGGCGGCCTTGCCCCACTTCATGTGGCAGTAAATGCAAAGCAACACTGTCAGTCCAGGGAGGGATGCAGACCTGAAAATGTCCACATTTGTTCTATGGACTCGAACTAAATATGCCTCTTGGTTCGTGCAGTAAAAGCCTGATGTAAGCCTCATTTCCCAGTTTATTTTTGCTGAGGAAACCAGCTCAAACAATACTTTCCCATGTGTAAACTAAGATTTACAGTCCATTGTCTTGAAGTGAAACCCAAACTAAAATCTATATTTTATCATCATGCACTTGAGGTTTGTAGGCTTCTGTGGTGGCTGTAACGTGTTTCTAGCTTCTTTCTGGTAGAGGAAGAGCAGCTATAGTGACAAGTAAAGATGTTTCACCAAAACGTGGCTTCATACACCGCTTCTGTCCTGGTTCTCGGAGGATAATCGTGCAACATGGACCATTAGCCGTAATTTACTGGGCATCGATGGTGAGGTTGTCTGACCAGAATAAGACATGCATTCCCTAGCACCGCAGCTTATTTCTCACTTTGAAAAGTGGGAGCATCTGAAAATGTACCAGGTGTACTCGTAAGGTCCTCCCTGGAAGGCAAAATATCGGAACCTTTTTGTGCCTATAAACCACAGACATGAAAGTGCCTTTCAAGTTTATCATTTTGAACCAGTCACCCAGCTTGACCAGTTCTTATGAGTAAGCAGGTGCCCTGATCTTTGTAGTGTGCCTTCAGGTTCAGGACAGGTTTCGTATATATATTTTTGCGGTGCCAAGAAATAGCTGAAATACAGACTCTTTCTTCTGGCATGGAATAGGATGTCTTTGTAAGGCTTTGTTGTAAAGCTCCAGGGAGAGTGGTTCCTCCTGCCTGCTGTTCACAGGCCACATGTGACTCCTTCACTCTTGTAGAGAGCAAAAGTTAAGTTCACAGTCATGCATATTTCACAAAAATAAGCGACCATACTGTACGCTGAAAAGCCTCGTTAGAGGGGAAAGCACGTGTGAAGTAGGGCTCACTGCAGCGCCTTCTTGGGAGAGGATACATCTGATAAAGGGAGAAAATTTTAATTTAGAGATACAATGTTCTCAATTACCTGAGAGATAAAGAGTTTTCCTGCTGTATTCATTGCACAAACAGAGATTCTCATGTTTGATCACTGATAGCGAAGACAATTCTTCTAGATAATGTAATGTAACTACAACTCCTAGTTCATAATGAAAGACTGAGAGAATGTATCGGCGCAGACGGCTCTGATGATGATTAGTTGGCCAATGACTGATCTCTTGTCGCTGGGGTGCTGCTGGGAACCAGAGGGCACACCGAGAGTGTCTTTCAGTGCCGCCGAGAAGGGCTGTAAAGCACAGATATGATTAGATGATTGTACACGTCGTTCTTTCTCCAATGTGCGTGTGTGTGTGCTATACAGTCAGCACTTGAAACACGACAACAAGCCTCTGATCTCTGTCATTGCTCCAGTCCCTTTACACTTCATTAGTGGTGGTGCTCCATCACTTGGCATGTTAGTTGAGATTGTGAATTTTATGTATGTTGTGTGTCTTCATAACAGCCACACGCTGGGTCCTTAAATAACTGAACCGCACACTCAGTCTCACATCAGTGGTATTCATTTTATAGCATTGCTGCTATCTGGTTTGATACATGATTGCATGGCGTCAATTTGCAATTTCAGCACTTGAGGGAACTAAGTCATAACAACTAAAACGTAATACGCTCTCTGTTTCCTGCTCATCGTGTTATGTTCCTCCTAAGGAGTATTTCCTCCACTGAAACAGAACCGGCGAGCTTTCCAAAGTAACTATTCACCTGAACATTCAGGGCTTCCGTTTTGATAAGCAAGAGTGAGCTGACCAGATTAGCAGCTGATAAGTTACCTCAATTACTGTATATTCAGCCAGCTGTGGAATTTTATTCATTAAAGAAACAAGACCAATGATCCTAAAACCTCACAGACTGAGTGTTTATGTGTGTGTGTGTGTGTGTGTGTGCACGCGCCTGGAAGGATGACCACACCTCACCAGTCCATTTCTCACTCTCATTTTCCTGTTTAATTTCTTCAATGACAGCACCATCTGGCATCAGTTCCTCTGTAGCGGTACGCGTCCCCCCTCTGCTCCCATACCTCCGCCACTCACTCTCCATCCCTGCTAGAAATGTTTTACCAGGTATCTTATAAGGAGCAACGACAAAAAACAAACTATGGGGGGAATATGGGGGAAGATGCGCTTTAACCCTTTCAGTCTGGTGTCCTGCTCGCTGTTTAAGTGAGACGTGTATGTGGACCGATTGGTCTATCTCGCTGTAAATCAACATATCAATAGCCCAGGTCCTTATGAACAAAAGGAACGATCGCACTCTGCATGCTGTTACAGCAACACAAACGATATTTGAGAATCATCAATAGGAAATGTTAATATATAGAGTTCACTAAATAGCCTTGTTGTCATCGTTGGTTATGATGCATTGACATGGTTTGGCTTGAGTAAAACCTGAGTAACAGTTAGGTTTTGGACGAGTGAACTGTGAGTTTGAGCAAAGCTTTGTTGTTTTTACCTGTGTTATTATTTGTTAGTTATAAGGCTGTTGTAAACTCGTAATTGCTTCTTCACCAGAAACCTCACAGGTTACACAGGTTAGTTCAGTTAGTGTTTTTTAATGAAATATCATATCTGATTCTAATAAAATGTGTTTTGTTGCAATTTGTCTTACCTAAATTCTACATATATATAATCCATTAATAAATCTTAAATAAATACATCTTGCTAGTATTCACTTCAGATACATTTTCATTTTCAAATAGTTCTAGTTATTCTGAAAATGAGCATGTGCAATACATCTATATTTGAAGCTAAAAACAGACTTTGGCCTGGGACTCAAAGGGTTAAAAAATGATACTGGAACCAAACCGTTATTTTGATATAAACAAGGGTTATTTGGTATGGTTAAAAATGGCGAGGTTGCTAGAAAGAAAATGTAAATAGGGCTCACTAATACCCATAATATGTTCAGTAATTAGGTCAGTAATTTAAGTGCAGCTTGTGCTCTTAAGAGAACCACAACAATGACTCAAAGAGCATTCAGCACCAAAATAAAATCCTCGCTTCAAACATGCTCATAGAA